CCTTCGTGTTTGTATGTTTGTATGCCGCAAAATGTACACCTGTTTGTAGAATGTCTTTTAAGCTGTGCACATCTGCTCCTCGTCATTAATGTTTGTTTGTTTTTGTATTTTGTATGCGCGACACACACACACACATACACTTTAATACTGCATACAACACACACACACATATACACACACGCGCGTACGTGGCACTGCATACAAACAAACACACACACAAACAAACACACACGCACGCACATGTAAAAACACTGCATACAACACACACGTAAGGCACACACACGCACACACCACACGTACAAATACTGCATACAAAGTTTACAAACACACACACACATACAAATACACACACATACAAATACACACACACACACAAACACACATGTCGTGTGATCAGATCCAATTGAACTTGAAACGGGCGATTTAATTCTGCCAAACAACAAAAACTCATTTTAATGGAAAATTGGCCAAAAAAGCAAACAAATAAATTCAAGTAGGATGGAAAGAGGAAGAAAAACAATGAAAAATGAATGAGACATGAAAAATAAAATTGATATTGATTTAAAAGGACAAGAATTGGAAAAATTGAAAGTAAACGTAGAGAACAGAAACTGAATAGAGAGAAAGAAAGACAGACAGAAAAAAGTTAGAGAAAGAGAAGGAAAAAAAAATAGAGAAAAAGAAAAAAGAGAGAAAGAGAGAGAGATGGAAAGTGAAAATAAAATGAAATACAAAAATTATGAAAAAATAGTTCAGACTCCTCACTATCATTACAATCGACAACATCACGATCATCATCATGACCGCCACCACATCACGATCATCATCATGACCACCACCACATCACGATCATCATCCTAACCACCACATGGATCATTGTTGTCTTTATTGCCTCAACTATCCAATACGAATTTCTGTTGTTTATATTGGTTTGTATGTTGGTGGTTGTAATGTATGTATGTATGTATGTTTTCGTATCGTTATATGTTTTAGTATTGTTGTATGTTTGTATGTATTGTTTTGTACGCTTGTAATGTCGACTCACATTGTATGTTTGTATTGTATGTTAGGATTGTCAGCACGTATTTGTATAAATTTTCAACCAAAATTATTGTATATATTGTATTGTATATATTGCATACAGATACACAATATAAAAAAAAGAATAATACAAACAAAATAGAAAACATACAAACATACAAAAGTAATACAAAAGAATTTGTATTTTGAAAATGAGCAAGCCATTGTTTGCTCATGTTCTTACGGATAGTTTTTAGCTACTGCTACGTGGTCTTGTTTATGCGTATGTGCGTGTATATTTGTATGCGTAGATATGATGTGTGAATGTGCTGTGTGTGTATATGTGTGTGTGTGCACGTACGTTTGAGTTTGTACGTACGTATGTATAAATGTATGTATGTGTGTGTGTGTGTGTGTGTGTGTGTGTGTTTGTATGTT